TTTTTTTTTTAAAGAGAAAGAAAGAGAATTTTAATATTTATTTTTTAATTATCGGCGGACACAACATCTTTGTTTGTACATGGTGCTGAGGATCGAACCCGGGCCGCACGCATGCCAGGCGAGCGTGCTACCGCTTGAGCCACATCCCCAGCCCTTTTACCTCCTTTCTAATCACGAAATTTGTATCAGAGAATTTTAAATTACCTGCTTTTTTGTTATACTGGTTGCACTATCTTCCTCTGGTACTGCTGGAAAACATTAAAAGTAGACTCATGTTAGAGTTCACCTTTCTCTGCACAAATCACAAGAAGAAAATAAGTGTCCCCATAGGGAACACTTGATTCAAATTTCACAAACATTGAGAAAGAAAGGACACCACTAAATGATAATTTATTCTTGTCCTTTGCAAACATTAGTAATTTCAGCCCATGAGAATCTGTTACAAATCAAGTGCTTTACAAACAGTCTTCCAATAAATGTTGGTTAATGATGGAATTCAGCCTTTTTAAATTAAGACTATCATTGTTTAAAATTATTGAGGGAAAATCATACATAATACCTTGATGTATTTGTGTGTGTGTGTATATATATATATATAATATATACATAATTTCTAGTTTATAACCCTTTGCTAACCGATGCTTTGAAATAACAGTTTTACTATTTTATGCCCAAATTTTCAAGTCCTTGATCCTCCCATGAAAAAGAGGTCGGACATCAAAAAAAATGCACCAAGATGATTTTTTTTTTAAAAGGTCAGAGAGCGATAGGAGGGTATAAAAGTATAAACCACAGGACATTTCAGGCAATGGGAGGCCATAGAAAAGCTTCAGGAAGAGACAATTCTGTATGAACATGAAACTTGCCAGAGTGGGTGCCTTAGCAGATGTCACTGTCCTAAATAACAGAGGTAAACAAAAGGATACTTACAGGACAGACTATTTATAAGGGAAAAAAAACCTTCATAATTATAAAGTATACAACAGTGGAAGCAGATTTCTAAAACTGACAAATTTGCATTGGAAATGGGTATTTCTAGAACTTTTATATTCTGTTGTTTTTAGACATTTAATGTCATTCTTACTGTTTTTCTGTTACTTCCCCCATTCTCCATGTGGGTGTTTTTTGAGTTTTTTTTTTTTTGGTATGTGTGAATGTGTTTTGGGGGGGTACCAGAGATGGTACTCAGGAGCACTTCACCACTGAGCTACATCCCCAGCCCTATTTGTATTTTATTTAGAGACAAGATCTCACCGAGTTGTTGGCTTTGAATTCACAATCCTCCTACCTCCTACCTCTTCCTCCCAAGCCACTGGGATTGTAGGCTTGTGTCACTGTGCTCGGCCTCCATGTGGTCTTGATCTTACCAATTACATTTCCATCAATCAAGGTACTTTATAAGGAAATCTTTGGGACTGGCAAATGATTATTGTTGCTATGTTAAGAAAGTCTTTAGAAAACCCCAAATGAAGACTTAGCACTCATGTATCTCCATCAGAATCTAAAATATGTGGTGGGAGAGATTCGAATGCAAATGCTATTAATTTGGGTATGTATTAGGGAAAAGTAAAGCCTATTACCATATATTACACACACACACACACACAAAATCACAGATAAGAGTTTTTTTTAGAATTTTACTTAAAAAAGAATGCAGCAATGACCTTTATACTGTCTTTATTAAATACCCTAGGGTTCATTAAAACGGTCTCCATTGTTTAATAGGAAAGGACATAAAACTAACTCTTCATGAAATCAAATGAGATCAGGAACTTACTTTTTCTAGTTTGGAGACAGCAGCTTCTGGAACATGAATGATGAGAATCATAGCAAATATTAAGGAGGGACCACAGGGAATTTGTAGCTTACCCTGAACTTGAAACAGTTCATCTTCTTCCACCCAAGTCTCTTTTTCTTCAACTCCATTGGAGCTGTTCCACTTGCGTTTGGATACTCTGAGGGGAGATCAATGAGGACAAGGTATGAAATATTCATCCCAGGCACCCCACGTTCTGATCTTGGCTCACTCATGGCACTCATTTAGGGTTCACCTATATACAACTCCCAAATGCACTGTCCCTTCCCCTGGACTGGCCAGGCATCTCAACATAAACATCCCTCATGCTGCAAGTGCATCCCTCTAACTCAGCACCAAGTATTTCAGCATCCCCTCAATTTCTGTTCTCTTCTTTGGTGTTTTGTTTTGGTTGGTTGGTTTTGATTGTCTTCAAGGTCCCCATTCTTCAAAGTAGAAGCTGCAAACTCTTTCCTTGCTCTTTTCTTAACTTCAAGCTGACTTCCTGTCCCTCTCCTTTCCCCTAATTCAAGCCCAAGGTACCTCATGCCAGCATTAAACTAGCCTCTTCCCCTTACAAAATTGACTTAAAATTACCACATCCCTCTCCAGTACATGATGGCTTTTCTGTCTAACCAGTAATGCCTAAATGCCTATGTAGTCTGCTGGCCCTAGACAGTTTCCTATCAAAGGTCCCCCAAAACTTGCCCTACAGCAAAGCCAGGCTGCTCTGCTGGTTCTCCTACCAGCTCTGCACCTGCCTGCCTCTCCATAGTCTGTTCTCTCTGCCTAGGAGTCCTTTGCCTGCCCAGTAAACTCAGCCATCTTTCAATGACACCTCTTCCTCTATCTACGGACCCTAACTCAGACCAAAAGGCCCCATTTCTCTGCCCCACAGAAATGTTTCCACTTTATAAAAAAACTATTTCAGGGCTGGGGATGTGGCTCAAGCGGTAGCGCGCTTGCCTGCCATGCGTGCGACCCGGGTTCGATCCTCAGCACCACATACCAACAAAGATGT